AGAGCAATAAGTTGTAAGAATTTTGTACACATGGGTGTAAAAATTATATAACAGTTCACATGAATAAAGGCAGGATCACTTAAAAAAAAAAAAAAAAAGATTCATAAATATATACTATATCTTATTACCAAAAAGGTACATCACTGTCTCTTGCTTAACTTTTCTACCACCTTCGAATTGTCATTTGAGATCTGTACTTGCAATTGGATCCTTCCATGTAAGTTTGGATGTATCTATAAAATCATTTAAATTTTTTAAGGAGAGCATTATAAAAGCTTGCATCTGCATCCATCATTGGATAATTGATTTTAACATTCTAAGATTTTGATTAATTTCTTTTCATATATAGTCTAAATCCAATTCTTGAGTGATATTTAGTACCTTTAAGGCTTTTAAGCCAATTATAGAACTATATCTATCACTTATCTATAGCAGATATAATAATTAGATATTAATATACAATCACATTTTAAAGTTCTTGAATAATACTAATAGAGGTATGAGTTGAGTTAATAGAAAATCTTTAGGCATTTTGTCTGTTATAAGACTCTAAATTTCGTTCATTTTGAAACTTGTACCTTCTAAAAAATTCCAATCTATATTCCCATTTAATTATATAACATATAATTTATTTAGAATTTTGCAAAATAATTTGCCCACCTAGCTTATATTTTAGCTTCTTTCATTTTCTATTTTGGAACTTCTCAGAATTTCAGAAAAATATAATACATTATACAGTATATGGATCATTTGCTAAGAAAATTACTGTTTGGTACATACTTGATTTCAAATGGTGATTTTTCTAGCAAATGACCCATCTGAATTCTTTTATAATATTATTAGATATATATTTATTTTAATAAAATCATGTCCGTTTTAGGCACATGACTTTTCTTACTAATGCGGTTTAAACATACTGGCTTCAATTAAAAAACCTTTCTAATAATATAACCTCTGACAATAATTTAAAATTTCTTGTTCAGTTTAATAATTCCACTCTATTAGTATCCTCATTTTTATAATAATGAGAAGTAGTGGATTATAATTCTACATTCTTGGTGATTAAGTTAATAGACAGAAATACTATAAACTCTCAAATGGCCCCAGGAAGCGATGTTATAAAGAAAATTTCCTGGCTACATCGCTCTTCTAGCTGGCATTCCTCGAATCTTAGTAATAGTCAATTTATATATACAGTATATCTGCTATTTCATCATTAATCAACTCAAAGATTGTAATTATATTTGTTATAAAACTACTCTGTGGTAATATCTCTAAAACTTTAGCTTTTTAATAATGGTTTTTATTTTTGGTAAAACAGAGGTAACTGCACAATTAACCAACGTTTTAATGGTGTTATATTCATCTAGTTTAGGCTACTTCAATTTAATTTTCTGTTTAACATAACATAAAAGTAGCTTTGATAGTAGGAGAAAGGGTATTAAAAAAACACAAATATAAAAATTATAGTAATTTTATTGGCTGTAAAAATGTAAAAATGCAAAAAAGTTAATACTGCAATTTGATTGGCTAATATTATGAGTTTTTTATGCAAATAGGGGAGAGAGAGGTTATGTTAAACAGAGAATCAAATTGGTTGTTAAGTAAAAAATATAAGCACCACAAATAGCCTCTAAAGGTGCTTTTAATTAAAGAGATTTGACTTTTGCTACTAATGATATACAGTATAAATTTGTAAAATTCAAATAAAAAAAATTTATTGTAAAAATATCAGTCTACTAGCTTTAATATAAAAATAAAAGACAAACTTAATAAATTGGTTATTAAAAAATTTTTAATTATATTTAAAAAAATTTTTATGTTTTTATATAAAAAATTGGGTTATAGTGCTATAGCACTGTAGTGCTAAAGTATTTTATCCAATTAAAATTCAAAATTAGCTTTGTAAAATAATAAAAATTTTTTTAAAAAAAATTAATTACTGTATATTTTAAAATTTTATTAAACTATTTTTTATGCTTTAACAAAGAAAATTCTTGCAAACATTGAAATAAACCAAGCCTCACCCATTCTAGCCTTAACCTTATTTTAACTAAATACTTTATTTTTTGTAAAAAAAAAAAAAAATTGAATTTTGCGATTAGATATAAGGCTGCTATAGTGCTATAACAATAATCCCCTTTTATATATAAAAATTTCTGAAAATACAGTAAATAAAAACCAAAAAATTAATTTGTATAGTTTAACTATTAATTAAAATTTTATTTTATTTAAGCTGAATAGTTCAAATACAAATCGGTCATTAAAGATATCAAAATGTAACCTGAGGCTACAACACATAGTGTTTAATATAAAATTATTTTGTATCGAACATTTTTAAGTACTATATACAAATTTTATTGAAATGATTAAAATTTATGATAATAAGTTTATTAAAATACAAAATTTATAAAAATAAAGTAAGAATTCATAAACTACATATATCGTCGATCTGATCAAAAAATATGATCTCCTTATAATGATTCTACAAAATAATTTTGGTGAATGTAAATATGCTTATTACAATTTTTTTGTTCTAAACCATAAACTCGATCGTTAATCATTGTTCGATTATAAATACAGTCTAAAAGTAGAAAAATTACCAATTATAATAAAACAATTTCTAATAGTAGGAGTAATAACAATTAATCATATTTTGACTTTTTTACTATTGTAATTGTCCCCAACTTCATCTCTCTCTTTCCTTTTCCTTCTTCCCTTATCTTTCTTATCTTTATCCTTATCCTTATCCTTATCCTTATCCTTATCGTTTTTTGCTCCATTAATTGAAATGATCAATTTTTTCATATATTCATCCAAAAATTTTGCGATACGATTACGAACGCCTGACGTAACACTTTCCACTTCTGCTAAGCGCATTTCTTTGCCAAAGCAAAGTTCGATACACTACAAACAGATCTAGTTTAACCAAAATAAAGATATAATGCTTAAAAAATTTAAAACCGATAAATTACCTTATTTACATGTTTGGTCAGAGTGCGTTCCTCAATTTGACTCTTAAATCGCTCAGAGTACTCAACTACTGCCGCAGCAAACTAAAAAAAAATTGTTTCGATTCAACGCATGGTAACCTCAGTTGCTATGTAAGGGTAATTTACGTAAACCTAACATTTAAAGAATATATACTCACCTCACCACGGAATTTATCTTTATCAAATGTGCGAGTAAACGAATTTTCATCCGATGCAGTAACAGACGGCGGCTGTATCAGCGTATCATCAACTGATTCAACATTATTAGTTTTCATATTAGCATTAGCAACATGTGAAGAACCGGGCTCTTCATTACATAGTTGCGAGGAAGATGTACTCGCAGGCAATAAGGATATGCATCCAAGTGTACTACTAGGTTCAGGCGTTTTTTGTTTCTTTTCAGAACATGTTTCCATTGTCTATACATTAATAAACAATGTCTGTTTATATGGTATAAATCGAAAGAATAGGAATAGCTTTATGATAAAATAATATTACTTTCACTTTATCACTCTTTTTCGATGAGTGACTTTTGTCCCTATCCAAAATTTTATCCTAATATGTGAAGGTTTCATCAAATTTTTGCAAATATATCTCTCATTCATCTGAAAGGAAAAAAAAAAACTATGCCTTCGAATTTCTTGGACTTGTTTGTTTATCCCGATCAGATGAAATTGAACTTTTCACAGAATTATTGGCCGTGGTACTCTTAGACGGAGCATGAAGCTTACGCCATTTTTCTAACAACTGTGAGAAAGAATATACACACATAAGATATATTATTTTATATTATTACGATTTTAAGTTATATATTAAATTATTTAGTACCCTTGTAACACGATCATGAAGTCCATCATCGTTTATTTTTATCATCTTGAGACTTCCTTTGATCTCAGTCATGATATCAAGATCGTTGTATTGTAATGGCAATTTTTCCAAAACAGAAATTATCTATAGTAAACGGAATTAATTAATGCTTGATATTAATAAAATGAAAAATTCAATCCAGACCAAACAAAAAATACAAACCCGTTCTATGAGTTTAGGCTCAGTATGTTCATGAAACCACAAACTTAATATCTTTAATCCATCGAGGTTTAAGAATTTTCTCAAAGCATTTTCATCTGTAGTTATCTTAAATAGGTAAAAGAATTATTAAATTATAAATTTATTAAAAAAAAAGATAATATTTAATGAAGCTTAATATTACCTCTAAATTACGGAGCACTTGAGTTGCCAAATCTGGTCTGTAGATAGCTTGCAACATACGTCCAATATAATTAAAAATTCCTTGGTTATCTTCAAGTGGGCGGACTTCCTCCGGAGTAACATCTGAGCCATTTTGCTCTTTATCTTTATGTGGCTTTCCATATCTAAGATATATCAGAATCAGTAATCCCTTGAATGAATTTTGTATAATGACACATCAACACATAACGTCTTTGATACCCTATTTACCCCATTGATGATTCAGTATAATCAATTGTTAATTCATCGCCATCCGAAATATCACGTCTAGCAAATATACCAGTCCTGGTCTGATTTCCCACAAACCATTCTTGCTTATGACAATTGGGATTACGAGAATGCGCAATAAAACGAGAAAGTCTTCCTTTTTTTGCCGCATTATTTATCTATAATGAGTACATTTGCACTTTTTAATTAAGCAAAATAAGTACTAAACATAATTAATTATAGAATCCTACCTCGCTTGTATCAGATGGTGGAAAATAGGTCCGCCACAATCCTTCACTCATGTATTTATCCATGTGAAATTCCAAATTATTTATTTCTACAGGAGTCTCGATTGGTTCTACAATGAAAGATCCTCTATTCAACATAGATAAAAGAACATTGAGATACAATTTATGATAGGTAGTATATATATAAAGACGACAACACATACTCATTTATTGGCTTTAATGCCTTTAATCCAAAATACTTGTTAGGTGCCCTGATAATATCAAACAAGGCATTCATATGATTTTGAATGCTAAAACAAAATATATTTTGAGTAAAAATTTATTACTTTGAGCTGAATAGAGTTTGCATTCTACTAGAGATTTTACCATCTATTTTGACAATAAGTGCCTTGGGAACAAAGCTCTTGCGTACATTCAATAAATCTAGCCCTATTTTCACAACCAGAGTCGACGCCGCACGCCCTATTATCATTGTCAACGTCTGTCATATAGCAACATTGTAAGAATTTTTGAATTTATAACAGTAGAAATTCCAGATCAGTAAGAAAGAAAATTGTCAAGACTACCTGGAACAAATTTACAACTACATTTAGCTGGATTGGTTGAAGAAAACAACGGTGATGTCATTTTTAGAATCGTTAGAATCGTCCTTCGTAGTAATGTAAAATTCGATGCACTTGTATGAATTGAAGATCGTCATCACGTGTTTTCGCGAGCCCTGATTATCTGATAACTTTAAATAGCGATAGCGCGAGAACGTATATAAACTGGGCTGGGATTTGAAGAACTAGTATTTGTCACGTGACGTCCCGTCTTAAAGCTACGCCGCTAACTTTGTGGAATGGGAAATAACGTTAACAAAAAAAAACGGCTGTCGCGATATCGAAAGTGACAGGCTTTTATTCAAGTTTGCAGTTAAAGGTAGTGATCTGCAACGGAGTTTCTTATTTAAACTATATCAGGCACGAAAATATATAATCCATAAATAAAAAAAAATAAATTGTAATACAATTTATTATAAATCTTTTTATTACTATTATTTGATAATCCAATAAGCAAGTATTAAATTTATCGCTATATACTATATGTAATACTGTGATTTCAGAAGACTTTCTACTTTACGCTGATCTTCCCAAAACCTAAACCAATGACAATGTTAAAACCAACATAAGCAATTAAGACCATCTGTATAGAAAACGACTTACCATAGCTAATAATGCCATCCTGACAAACATTCCATACTTCATTTGTCGGAAGTAAACAGCACGATCGTCAAAGTCTACTTCTGGATCGATTTCATTTATTCGCGGAAATGGATGCATTACAATCATGTTTGGTTTAGAACGACTCAATGTAGCGTTATTTATTATATAGGAATCCTTAACCCGTTCATATTCGATTTGATCTGTAAATCGCTCACGCTGAATTCGTGTCATGTAGAGCACATCAGTTTCTGCAATTACATTCTCCAAATCCGAATATTCTTTTTGCCTTATTCCTCTAGTTTTGCGAACCTCCGTTTTGATTTCATCAGGAATACGTAATGATGCAGGACTAACATAGTTGAGGGTAACTTGGTATTGAGATAATACCCTAACTAAACTGTGTACCGTTCGACCATTTTTTAAGTCACCAACTATCGTAATAGTTAACCCATTGACAGTTCCAAGTTCTTCACGAATGGTGTACACATCAAGGAAGGCCTAAGAATAAACTATTAAATATAAAGAATAATATGACCAATAAATCAAAACTTGCAAACATACCTGAGTAGGGTGTTCTCCAACACCATCACCTGCATTAATTATCGGAACGGGTGAATATCGTGCTGCAGTTCTAGTACTACCAGGCTCTGGATGTCTCAAAATAATAACATCCCCATATGATCCCACCGTCCGTATAGAATCTGCTAATGATTCACCTTTTGCAACTGAAGATGTATCTGTCTTGATAGCAACCACTCGACCACCTAGTCTATTCATTGCTGCTTCAAAGGAAGCTGATGTTCTTGTAGATGGTTCAAAGAATAATGTAAACATTACTCGACCTTGAAGCAAATTTACTGACCCATAACGTTCAACCAAGGTACGCATTTCGTGTGCCACACCAAATAATAAATGAAGGTCATTACGTGTGAAATCTTTAGCAGTGAGAATATGTTGTCGGAAGAAACGTGTTTGATTTATATTCGACGTAATGCTTCTACAAATACAAAAATACATCAATTAACAACATTAAGTTTAATACGTTTAATACGTAGGAATTTTATAAAACGTAAACTCACGTTGGTAGGATCGCGTGTGAAAAATCAAGGGAAAACAAATCAGAAGCCATTGATTTAAGGCCGTGTTCTCTTGGTGTAAGTGTAGGTGACAAAATATCCGGAACATGACTAGCCACAACCTGTGATGATTGTTGTTGTGGTTGTTGCTGAGTTTGCAATGACTCTTTACTTGTGATTGATTCTTTAATAGCTGGAGTTTTCGCAATAACATGAATCAAATTTGAAATGTCATTGCCACTAGCACCAGTAGAGTATGATCCACCATCAAGATAAACAGTATCTCTTTTTAAAACTACACGACTCACTACTCCTGATAAAGTCTTTCCAACAAATGGTGACCAACCACCTTCTTTTTGCGCCATTATTATCTTACGATCAATTTCTACTTCTACATAGGTATCTGGTTGCTCCGGTATATTGAAAATGTTTTGAGGATTAGTGTAAAGACGAGTTTTGATATCATCTAATGTCAATTTTCCCTCGTTAACAGCATTTAATAACAAAGGTAATGTCTCTTCTATACCAGTGCTTGCCGGTACATCAAATCCATATGATTGCGATAATCGATACGGTAGAGTCCCAACACTAAAACAATCAATGCTTTCTAAATATTCCCATAAAGCTGCTTGATCTGAGAAACTAGGTAAGATATTTGTATTGTCGTTCATATCGTTGGAGTTCAAAAATAAAGCATATACCGAGACATCACATGTAACCTTTAGACCCTTTTCTTTGCTTAAAGCAATTAAAACTATATCTTCCTTAGTACTTACGTCGGTCACATGCACAGCACGATTATGTAGACTAGCTAATAATAAAACAGATGCCAAATCAGTTCCACTAGCATCAGTGACTATAGGTGAGTGTAAAGGCCAAGTACTTAAATGCGTAGAAATGGTAGCCATTTTAGGAATCATATCGGGTTGAAGGATTTTAAATGGAATAAAGGATGATGCACCATCTGGTACTACGGTTGTCAATTCTTGAGTATTGTTCTCTGTAACAACAACTGATAACGAAAAATCACAATGTGCATTATTATGACTATTATTATGTGCCACTTCGACTGTTATTGCGTTTCTCAAAGATTCATTTAATCCTATTGGCAATATATTTATGGTGGTAAGTCCAGCTGCAAGTGACGCCTTGGTAACTTGTGAAAAATCATCATTATTAGATTCTGCAACATGAGGTACGAAAGCTGAGACATTAATAAGACCTGGTAATGTTACTCTCTTATGACATGTCTTGTAATCAATATTCAAAATTTCAAAATCGTTTTTGCGAGAAAGCGCTTCTATAAACAATTTTGCACATTTGACATTAGTTATTAAAGGGATATCGTAATCCACAGCCATTCTACGTGTACGATAACCTCTACTCATATAACTAGCTGGTCGACGATACCGATTTTTAGACGGTAAATTAATATATAAATCAATTAAATTATTTGCTAAATGTTGTTGAAGTGAATATTCAGATTTGAGCTGGTGTTCAGATTCTTCCAATGATACCAAATATTTCACAGGAAGTCCATGCTCTTGAATATAATCAGCAGTTCCAGATGTGGCAAATAAATTATATCCCTTTTGATGTAGTTTCCTTATTGACGGTAGCATTTCATTCTTTTCCTTAAAAGAACCAATAGAGAGCAAAATATTTTTTCGAGGCATGGTGACATTAATTCCTGTAGATATCAATGCCTTAAGATATGCCTCATATTTATCCCGCCCGAAACATGCAACTTCACCAGTAGATGCCATTTCTACACCCAATATAGGATCAGCACCAGATAAACGACTAAAACTGAATTGTGGTACTTTAACTGCTACATAACTTTTTGGTATATTAATTGATGGGTATGGATCAATATGAACTCCCAACATAGCTAAAGTAGCCATCTCGATTAAATCCACGTCCATAACTTTGGACACAAATGGAAAAGATCTTGACGCACGAACGTTGCATTCTATAACCTTAATATCATTGTTTTTAGCAATAAATTGAATATTAAAAGGACCTGTTACATTTAATGCATTTCCAATCTGTTGCGTAGCAAGTTCGATTTTTCGTACAGTAGCAGGATCAAGGTCCTGTGGCGGTAAGACGAGAGTTGCATCACCCGAATGTACGCCCGCATTTTCAACATGCTCTGATATTACGTGCATTATTAGCTTACCGTCAAGAGCCACAGCATCCATTTCAATTTCTTTAGCTTCTTCAATATATTTTGAAATTACAACTGGTTGTTCCCGAGAAACTGCCGTAGCTTGACTAAGATAATTGGAAAGATCATCTGAAGAATATACTACATTCATTGCAGCACCTGATAATACATAAGATGGCCGTACCAAAACTGGAAATTGAACTTGTTTACAAAATTCATGTGCTTCTTCATGACTAGTTAACTCTTTCCATCTTGGTTGGTCGACCCCGATCTGATCCAACATACGAGAAAATTTATATCTATTTTCAGCAGTATCAATCATTTCTGGAGAAGTACCAAGAATTTTAACATTTTGACGAAACAATGGTAATGCTATGTTATTTGGAGTTTGACCACCCATAGAGATTATTACACCACAAGAATTTTCAATTTCATAAATGTCCAATACACGTTCTAATGTGATATTTTCGAAATACAATCGATCAGCTTCATCATAATCTGTGCTAACTGTTTCTGGATTATAATTAACCATCACCGTCTTGATACCACGATCACGAAGAGTACGAATCGCTCGCACAGCACACCAATCAAACTCGACTGAACTACCAATACGATAAACACCGGATCCTAATACCATAACACCCTTTTCTTCAAAAGTAATATCATGCTCCACAGCATTATAAGTTACGTATAAATAGTTCGTTTGTGTAGGGAATTCGGCAGCAACTAGAGAAATCATATAAATTAATATTTTTAAAAAGGACTTAAAAAGAGTAAGATAAATAATTGGAATTTACCAGTATCAATTTGTTTTACAACAGGTATTATGCCATGTTCTTGTCTTATCCTTCTTACTGATAATTCGTTACTACTGATAAGTTTTGCTATATGACGATCTGAAAAACCCAACTGTTTAGCCATTAGGATAAGATCGGATTGAATTGTTGAATAATTATAATTTTTAAGTTGTTTTTCTAATTCAATTATATTTTTTAATTTGTATAAAAACCATTTGTCTATTTTTGTAAGCTCCCATATTTGATCAACAGTGTATCCTTGATGCATTGCATTGGCAATGGCAAAAAGCCGTTGGTCAGATGGATTGATTAATTCCTCTTTAATGGAATCAACAAGGTCATTCTAATTAAAAATATTCAAGAAATCATATGTAAGTAAGTTTTTTGTCTTGTGCTCAACATTCGATTTTTTTGAAGCCTTAATATAAATCAGCAAACCTGACCAAATCCTGAAAACCCGTAATCAATAGCTCTTATTGCTTTCTGAATGGTCTCTTCAAAAGTACGCCCAATACTCATCACCTCACCAACAGATTTCATTGATGAACTCAAAGCTTTATTTACACGTGAGAACTTTTTTAGATCCCATCGTGGAATTTTAACAACTACATAATCAAGACTAGGTTCAAAACATGCACATGTCACTTTAGTCACCATATTATTAATCTCATTTAATGGTATTCCTAAACCAAGTTTTGCAGCGACAAAAGCCAATGGATAACCAGTAGCTTTAGATGCGAGTGCAGATGAACGAGATAAACGCGCATTCACTTCTATAATACAATACTCTTTAGAAAAGGGATTTAGAGCATATTGAATATTACATTCACCCACAACGCCAAGATGACGAATAACATTAATTGCTGTTGTTCTTAACATATTGTAGTCATCATCAGAGAGAGTTTGAGATGGAGCAACTACGATAGAGTCACCAGTATGTATTCCAAGAGGATCAAAATTCTTAATATATAAATTAAGACGATCTTAATGAGAATATAGTTTAAAAAGTAATTATTCAAGTAGCATCTCAATAATTATTTATTCGAGATTACCTCCATATTACAAACTGTGATACAGTTGTCTCGACAATCTCTAACGACTTCATATTCGATTTCCTTCCAACCTTTCATAGATAGTTCGACCAACACTTGAGGGCTAGTTGCAAAAGCCTTGGTACAGAGCTCAACTAATTGCGTTTCATTCTCAGCAAATCCAGAGCTTAAACCACCGAGCGCATACGCGGCACGACATATTACTGGATAACCAATCTTCTGTGCAGCATCTAAAGCTTCTTGAACATTTGTAGCAGAAGCAGATTTTGCACATCTCTCTTTAATCTCTACCATTTTTTGAGCGAATAGTTCACGATCTTCTGTAGCGATTATTGTTTCTATTGGTGTACCTAACACTTTAACCCCCAATTCTTCAAACTGATCTTTAAGCTTGATACCGACATTTAATGCAGTTTGACCACCAAATGTTACATAAATACCATCAGGTTTTTCATGTTTAATAACCTTGAGAACAAAATCAGGATTTACAGGGAGGAAATAAACTTTATCAGCAAGAGAATGTGATGTTTGTATAGTAGCAATGTTTGGATTTATTAAAATTGTATATATCCCTTCTTCTTTCAGAGCTTTAATAGCCTATAAAAAATATACAATTAGCATCAATCAAAATTTTCTAATACTTTGTTATGGGAAATGTAAAAATAATGAATAAATTTCTTACTTGACTTCCTGAATAGTCAAATTCACCAGCTTGACCAATACTCAGTCCCCCACTACCCAAAACTAAAACTTTTCTAACACTAACACGTGGATTTTTTCGTGAATTCTCACTTCTCAAACCACCAGGCATTTGTATTGATGTCAAATTTCCTGTCAAACCAAATTGTTTGACACTTTCAATAAATACATCAAATAAAAATTCAGTGTCCTTTGGACCAGGAGTAGATTCAGGATGAAATTGAACGGAAAAAATTGGTAAAGTCTTATGTATAATTCCTTCATTTGAACCATCATTTGCGTTGACGAATAATTCTTGAAATTCAGAAGGAAGCGTACTTGCATCAACAGCATAACCATGATTTTGAGAAGTAATGTAACAGCGACCAGAAATCATATTTGTACAAGGGATATTTTGACCTCTATTACCATACTTCATCTTCTTTGTTTTAGCACCAGCAGCAAGACCTATTAATTGATGACCCATACAAATGCTAGAAGTAATAATGAATGATTAAATTAATAAATAAATTATAGATGAAAGATGAATTCAATATAATATAAAAAAATATTATATATGTTTATACCCAAAAATTGGAGTTTTTGCATCTTTCAATGCCACCTTAAGACGTTCAATTGTTTGTTTTACCATTGTTGGATCACCAGGACCATTACTAAATAGACGAAATAGAATATTCATGTTCGTTTTTGGTACCTAGAGGAGACATAGTTGGTCGATGACCTAGTCCTAACATTTTTTTAAATATGACCTTGGCCACATAATCAATGAATGACTTTTGGTCATAGGTCATATTGGTTATATTAATGCTATCAAAAAAAGTTTTTACTATTATTCTTACAATATTAAAATGTCATAAAGTTATATAAACTTTCGTTATGACTAAATGACCTATAACAAGTCATAAAGGTCATATAGGTCAATTTTAAGGTCATCGGCCAACATTGATAGGAGAAGATAGGAGAAGGAAGCAACCGATATTATATGCTTGCCTAATAAATAATCCATGATAATCATTTTCATTGATAAAATCATAATCCCAGGGGACCACCTTAAATTCAACTCCGCGATTAACAAAGCAACGAATTTGATTGTATTTCTTTAAAGTTGGTGTGACATATTAAGTGAGTTTTGATTGCAAATTGGATTGAAAGAAATGCTAATTAATTAA